AATGAAGTTACAGCTGTGACTTAAACATACAGGTAAACCCGACAATAAGTCAACTAACGCAATCAGCACTAAAGTACCCCCGCACAAGGACGGGCATTGTCTAAACTTCGGCCCCTCTCAAAAGAGAGAGAGAGCCAACCTGGACCAACCACAGCAAACCCGAAACCTCCAATAGCTCCAGCTTGCCACCGATTGAAACGCCATCACCACAAAAGAGACCAAACCTCCCAGACCCTGCCACCACCTAAACCACCACCTCCCCGAAACACAACCCAACCAACATCCATCAACACACCACCTCAACAAACCCACAACAGACCACACACACAAAAAGAAAACACAACAACAAAGCCCTCAACCGGTCGTAATCGGAGAGGTAAAAACCTCCACCGTCCGAAGCCGGGGAGGGAACCTCCATCGACCGAAGCCGGGAAGGGAAAAAACTCCACCGACGAGACGGGGAGAGAGAACTAGGACTCCGAGGAGCCTAGAGGAAACCGAACGAGTGGCCCAAGGCCACTAGCCGAACGAAAGCCAGCGAAAACAAGGGTTAAGGGGGAAAGGGTTCAGGGAGAGAGAAAAAGAGGGAACCCAAGTTCCAAAGTAATGAAGAATTAAGACATAGCAAAAGGATCAAAACGTCTACATCTTTTGACTCAAATTTTTTAACTTATTTGTAAGAAAATGAATCTAGAACATTCAATGAAACAATATCTAGTCTAGAAGCTCCTTTATGAAAAGCGGCTATTATTAGTGAAATTGATTCTATCATGCAGAATCATACTTGGGAGTTGGTGGATTTCCTACGGTAACAAACTGTTAGGTTATAAATGAATTTTCAAATAAAAATTAAAAACCGGTGGATCAGTGGATAAATATAAGGTCGAATTGGTAGTTAAAGGATTTAAACAAAAAGAAGGCCTTGATTTTTTGGATACATAATTACCTGTGACAAAGGTAACATCTATTAGAGTATTAATTGCAATCGCAACATTGCATAATTTGAAAATTCGTCAGATGGACGTCAAAACAATTTTCTTAAATTGTGAGTTAGAAAAAGAAATCTATATGGAACAACTTGAAGGGTTCATTGCTCATGGACAGAAGAAAAATGTGTGTAGGCTCGTTAAGTCGTTATATGGACTAAAACAAGCGTCAAAACAATGGCATGTAAAATTTGACAAAACTATGTCGTCAAATGGTTTAAAAATGAACGAGTGTGATAAATGTATATTAAAATCACACCTAATGCATATGTAATCGTTTTTTGAGAATCTGTTTCCTTCTACTCAACAGTTGGAGCATCTTCACTCAAGAATTTTGTCAAATTCAGAGTTGTGGGATAAAACAACATTGTATATTGTCATCTCTCAAAATCCACATCTAGAATTTTGTCAAATTCAGAGTTGTGGGATAATACAACATTGTATATTGTCTTCTCTCAAAATCCACTCCTATGATTTTTTTTCGATTTCTCTCTGTGAGCATTGTTAGGGGGTACTACAAATGTGTATTACTTGCCATTATCTGTTGACCTATGGTTGACATCTCGTTTGGATTATCATAAACAAATTATATTTATTACTAACGAATTGATTTCAAGTGTCCATAATAATTATTGCACATGAATAAAATTGATGACACGAAGTTCAAGGTCAAGTAATTTGTATACAATAAGCAACGTGGAAACAAAATCAATCAATCGAGGCTATGGAGAATGATATTGTAAAAACTCGCAAAAAAAAATGCCTCAACGTGAATCCAGACAAAAGTCAAAGTACCGTCAAGAAATGCAAGTCAAGATGTTCCAAATAAAGTATTTGGACTTTTCACAATCATATGTAAAGGTAAAACAATTTAATACTCGGTAATGAATCGTGACGAGTTCAAAGTTTTTATTTTACAAATCACGACAAAAAATGTTTTACTCGAAAAATATGTTTTCAAAAGTAAAAATCGAAACACGTATTTTAAGTATAACAAGTACTTTGAAAAAGTTTTTTAAACGTCACTCGAATACCTACATTTGATAAAAAATTAAAAAGGAGAACATTCGGAGCCAAAAAGGCTGTACCAGACGTTCGGTATGACCTTTTTGGGTCCAACGGTAAAAAATTTAACCATTCTGATTTTCTGACAAAAAATGGCCATTTGATCATCCGGTATATACCGGACGTCTGGTACGGTGCATCCGGTACGACTGAGTTTTTGATCGTTTGAGTGCTATAAATACATCACTCATTCTTCTTTTGCAACAAGTTTTCTTGAATATAAAAGTGAGGCTTTTATTGATCACAACCACCATTATTCTTTATCCTTAAAAGATCAAAAGCATTAAATTTTCGAAAAACTTTTGAGTGATTAATTTTATTAAAATTTTTAACAAGTTTTTCAACTCAACACTTTGAGTTACACTCATTACCATCTATCGAAGTGTTTGCCTCTTCTCTTCTTGTTCTCAATTTTGAATCTACTGTTCGACAAAGAAGGGAAGACTCATCTTGTAAATTCATTTTTAATTGTGGGTCTTGTTGAAGTCCCAGAAAGCTCAACATTGTAAAATGATCGGTGTTCCTTGGTTGTAAGTCACCGAAAGCGTTGTAAAGGGTTGTATTGCACCATAAATCAATCAACATAGTGAAAAAGACATTGCTCTTACCGAAGAGATTGGTAACGGGGGACGTAGATTATTACATTTGATCGAACCTCCATAACGTATCGTTTGCACTCTCTATCCCTTTTATTTAACGCATTTACTTCAAGCAAATCTACATTGCTCCATTTACGTGTTTTCTTATGTTTAGATTATTTTCTATCATTTGCGTGTTCATTATATTAAATTCTTGAGTGATTAACGAAAAAATTTAAGTACACCCCCCTCTTGGTTAGCCAATCCTGGGCTTTCATTATCGTTTTAAGATTGTCGGCAAATAATGATATTATCGTGCAAGCACTAGTACTGACGGTATTCCAACACTCGTCTTCCAAGATACAACAATCTCGACTTATAGTAGTAGCACTCTAAATTAAAAGACCTAACGAACCTACTCACATTTTTTATCCCTCTAAAATTGGAGGATTAAAATACATGAAAATAACTTTTGAGAGCGAAATGCAAAATATGTAATGATGCAGGGATGAATGAATATAATTTGCAAGAGAGAAAAATCAGAATTGATATTTGGAATGAATAAAATTCGAGGGTAGGAGGACCTTTACGTAGAAGTAGAAAAGTTGTGTCTAAAAGACACAACAATCGAAAAGTCGTGTCTTTAACAGACACAACCCGTTTGGACAGGCAGTTCAACTGTCATCGCCAGATTCTAGAAGAAGTCAAGTGTCGCATACAGAAAATTCGAGAAAAATAAATAATATAAATAAATATATTATTATTTTAAATAATAAAATTCAAACATTATTTTACCAAAAAAATATATACCAACTTGGTCCAAGCACATGACCTTTGCCGAGTTGAGCCGGACGGACAACGACGGCGCGCGGGTGGGTTTTGACTCAACCTACTAGCATGTAAGTTATTTCCCTCTCCAAAAACTACTGATACCCCTTAGAGTCTAAACTCAAGTCTCAAACTTGAACGATATAAAGTGGTTTCTGTTCTTTTATTTTTTCTATATGGGATTGTCATTTTTCAATTTCCCACCAACTTTTATTCTCAATTTATTTCAACTTCAAGTGGTCATCTTTTGACCTTAATTTCTCATTCACCCTAAATTAGTTTTGAGAAAATAAATACATTACATTAAACTAGTCATGGAGTAGAACACACTCAGCCAAATAAATATTTTGTCTAACTAACGAGATCCACTAAAATAATTGGTCAAAAGTTGATCAAATCAATTAATTAAACCAATTTTTTTATGAGACTGGTCATCGTTAGAAGATCTATCATCGACAAGATAGATTCATATATTAAAAGATCTAATGAAATCAAATAAATTACCAACCCATCAATAAGTGGGAATCACAATGTTTTTGCCACAAATGTGTGTGTATGTTAAAACTTCTCATTTTGGAAGCAAATCGAAAATCATTAACTTATACTCCCCGTTTTAACATGTTTGGTAAGGTCAATGTTAGACATTACTCGAAAAAATGAAGCCAAAATAATTCGGCCCATTATATTGTTCAAACCTTGATTACAACATACCAAACGTACCATTTCTGTACAAACACAAATTAATCTATCAATCTACAGTAAAATTCGAGCAATATTGTGATTATATCTCGTTTCTTCTCTTTGTTTTGATTTGATTTCTCCAGCACACCTTAAAGTCCTCTCAATTTGGTAACCTCCTCCAATACTAACTTCTCTCTCCAAGTGACAGCAATAACTCTCAAAAACACTGACATTTACATGCAATTTGAATTTCATCATGAATAAAAATTCAACTTCCAATTTATTCATTTCCTTTGTTGTTACTCCACCAACTCGAGCCAAGTAAGAATTTCTGTAGTTCCTGTACAAAATAAGAGAGAATAATTTAGATCGACGGTAAAAAAAAAGTACTTAAAAGTTAAGTATCAATGAATATAGGGTTTAAACGCCCGTGTACCCGACCCCACGCCCCCCACTCACAATGCGTGGGGGGGGGGGGGGCGGCATTATTTTATTCACCTCAGGCCCCCCTCATTGTGAGAGGGGCTGTGGGGTCGTGTACCCAGGCGTGTACAGTACAAATGGCTTTTCCCATGAATTTAAGGTCAATTTTACAAAGGAGAGAGATAAATACTGGGCAATAGTGTACAAAATTTAAATAGTATGTGTGGAGTTCCAAGACCACAGTCTCACCCCACTAAATTATTGCTAGAAAAATTGAAGCCATATGATAAAAGCCCGCCGACAAATATGAGAGACAATGTTTTTCCAATGAAGCTTGTGGTGGTTGTGAAATATTGTTAATGGCATGTTGCGTTAACGTTAAATTGAACAGTACTGAATTACATAAAAATGTACTCTCTGAAATTGTACCTAGAAAATTCTACTCGATCTAAGCTAGCTAACCTCCTATTAGAGCAAGGCATGCTTCCTAGACTAGATTCACTAATTCTTAACTTCAGTGATTAACCTGTACCAAAACACTACTCGAAGTATTCGTACATTCATTGTCGGTTTCTATTGAAGTGGAGATAGCTATAAGTGCACTTTTAAGAAGAATGAGTCGACTCCCAAATACACAAAAATGTAATTTTAAGTTAAAGATCACTTACATGTCTTCTACATACTTGGATGCCACAATGATGGTGGTAATGAGCAACCTATGCACATTCCTCGTACCAAGTCGAAACTCGGGATAAAACTGGCAAAACCGATCAATATAAACATAGGCAACAACATAAACAGATGGTCCGGCTTTAGTGTATCTGAAAATTCTCTCAAGATAGGACTGAATCGTCATGTCCGGTACCTCATCGTAGTCGAAAACCCGGGTTTTAGCATCCTTTGACAATGGCCATTTATTGCAATTTTTGACAATTCTTTCATTCCTGGCCAATGTTCTTTCAATGAGGGAAGCAAGAACAGAGATGACTAGTGGGATGTTTGAGTCTTGTTGGTATGAATATGAGTAGAGATCATGTCTTAGTTTTCTTGGAGATATATTGGGGATTGAATTTACGGCCATTTGGTATTCAAATTTGGATTGATAGAGAAGATGGAACAACAGGGTTTTGTGTTTATGTAAGTATACAAGAGAAGTTCTAAGTGAGATTTATAGATAGACTGAGAGAGAGAGAGAGAGAGAGAGAGAGAGAGAATGTGGCTTGATACACAAGATGGAAGAGGAGGGATTTGTGTTCTATATATAGGAGAGGAGATGTTTACCTCGATTTATAAGTTTCAAGTTTTTCGACGTGTACCTTCGTATGCAAGTAGAATTCAATTTTTCTTCGAAAACTCGATTCCATCTTCAACTTTTATAAACAGATAGCATCAAGACTAGAACTTAACTCTTTTGCTTGTTTCTGTACAATCTTTAATTCCTTTATCTATAAGTTTAAACAATTAAATCACTACGCAGTTATATATCAGCCCCTATTTGGAAGAGATTAAAATCGGATTTTTAGTAAATTTTGATAAAAGCTGATGAAATATGTGGTTGAAAAGTTGCGGGTCCTATAAAATGTGTGGTTAAAATTAATTGTTAATTGTTAATTTAAATTTTAAATTGGAATTTAATCCAAACATGGCCTAAATCGTTTCTTCAATATAAGCCTATTCTGGAGGGAGGGAGTTGGTACAAGTGAAATATAGTAAATTAAACTTGGGGGGCATCTGGAAGGTAGTAGGAAGGGAGGATGATATCAAATTTCAAGATATTTGCCTCCTCATTGTAAAGGCAATGAAGAGACACACCAGCTTGCATTCATCATTAAATTAATGCTGGATCACATTTAATATTAATAATAATTTATTAATAAGCAATACGTACAATTTTATTCACGCTATAATGTTCTATCTGCGACACTGATAATAAATTAACTCCAAAATTTACTAGGGTAATAATCGAGGCTCGACCAACTTACACACAGTGAATAGTCAACTTACGTGTCACGCCTAGTCTAATTTCAATAGTTTGATGCGTCGATAATAATTTATTTTCTTCTTACATAAATAAACAAATGACTCAAATGGAGATTCTCGTTTATCTTTACAAAACGCAACCAGTAAAAATAAATTATTTTGACTTTTACCAGCCGCCGACAGTGGGTTGAAATCAAGTGTAGAAAGGCCAGCATTCATTCAAATCTGTTAGGTCTTCAAATGGGGCCCTCATCATTAAAAAGTCTTTGAGATTTGTGTCAAATTAATTTCAGATTGATTAAAGTACAAGTTACACGTGCAGTGCCCCAAATAAAATTCTTGTGGGTACGAGAATTTCCTTGGAAACCTCTTGTGACTTTCTTCACTTGGTAAAATTAAAATTAAGGGAGTGTTCGATAGAGATTAAAATCAGATTAAAATTGAAAAATTAATCGTTATTATTGATTTTTATTAGACAGTTGGATCCAATAATGACTATATTTTCAATTTTAATTGAATTTTAAATTTAGCCAAACATGCTCTAAAATTTCAGGGGTCGGACAAGTTGATTTAAAAGTGTCAAAATAAACTTATAGCCATTGCAACACTCACCAGAAGTCGTTTCTCAATCGAAAGCTACCTTACCATATTTCGAATCCAGTGATTTTAACGAACTCTTTACAACAGTTCATCTTGTACCATACCTAAAATTGTCCTCAACTGTTTGCGTAACCATAAATCCTATTGTATTAATTGAGATATGTCAACTTCGCCTATCATTCTATTGTAAATAAACAATTTTATCATAGATCCATTGAGGTCTTGACCATTTGAATTAGACTGACAAATTGGAGTTCGAGTCAACCTAAAAATGGGTCTGAATTAGCCCCGTTTGTTAGATGATTAACTCTCATCTAAAGTTACATATTAATTACAACGTACTTAAACGGTTAAATAAATAAATAAATATTTGTGACACTTGAAAGAAGAATATAGGTGCCTGATCAAATCAAGTACGATTTTGTACAATATCACGAGTACCAACCATATTTACAATAAAATTATTGGGCCCACCATACAGGCTGTACGATATGGACCATGTAATAACTTATTGGGCCCAAATATTATTTCATTTTACATTGCTTTTAATCCTTTTCTACACAGTCAACAGGTTCCTGTTTGATTGAGTTTGTGTCAACAAAAGAGGCCAAAGTAGCAATTATTGGACATGGATGTTTTATCCATTTAACTTGGTTTCAAGATTCAATGCACCAACAATTTTGTACAATTTTTATACGAATAATGTTAAGTCTACGTTTCATAGGTTATATTTTGTTAAACATTCTTTGTATTTTCAATAAGAAATAGGCGGAAAAACAGTTTTTTTTTTCAAACTGGCTTATGATGTGTTGTCACGTGACACAATGTAAACAACGATGTCAAATATGATCTACATGTGGCATGATTGATTTTTATATTTTTCATTTTGCTGGGCTTTAGTACCACCTTTTTTTTAAGGAGGGAATTGAATATTCTTTAATCAATTATTGCAATTTCCGATTGATTCTAAACACGAACTTTACTAAGGAAGGTGCAACCGTGCAAGCAAGATTGGATGCTCATGGACTAGTTGCACATCACAATCAAATTCAATATATATATATATCTTTCTATATATAAAAAGTGTCTATCTAACGAAATTTGTTGGTTTAACGGAAAAACTAACGGAATTTGTTGTTTTAACGGATTATATAACGGAATTTCTTGTTTTAAACAGGCAGCTGCACCTTCTTTCAGTATTTTTATCATAACTTTGTATTTCGATGTTCGATTGA